TTTCTTTCTTTCTTTCTTTCTTTCTTTCTTTCTTTCTTTCTTTCTTTCTTTCTTTCTTTCTTTCTTTCTTTCTTTCTTTTTCTTCTTTCTTTTTCTTTCTTTCTCTCTCTCTCTCTTTCTTTCTTTCTTTTCTTTTTTTAATATTTGGAGGTAGCCATATGGACACATCCTGTTTTATTTTTCATTCCCAGAATATCTATAGGTTTTTAAAATATATTTTTTTAAATTTTCAATTATAGTTGATGTACAATATTATATTAGTGCTAAGTTTCTTTACAAGATGGAACGAACTGCACAGACACAGTAATGTTTATTAGAGTTAACAGTTTACTCTGAGAAACATAGTGAGACTGGCACAGTCAGCATTTTGTGTATAAAACTATGTCTTGAATTTTCTGATATGTGTGTGAGCCCAGGGCAACTGCCCTCTGTATTCAATTACCAGAAAAGAATTAATAAATGAATATACATTAAAATCACTTCAATAAAAAATGTTACAGTCCTATTAATTTTTAAATAATTCAAAATACATTTAATTCTATTTCAAATTATAATCCATTTAAGATGATCAATACTATCTCCACTGTGAAGATACTATAATTTTCTGTGATTTACTATAATAATCTCTACATTACACAATCATCAACTTGTATCATCAATACTTTACATACCACAGAATGTCAAAAAACAAGTCTGTAGGTAATTATATAATGTACACCTTTATTCTTAACAGACTTACCTAGCCTTAGGCACTGTCGCATTAAACCTCCAGAAGACATGTTTTTTTCAGCTTCAATCTCACTAAAATTTAGAGAGCTGGCAAATACAAGTACATCAACCATAGCCATCAATCGGCTGAGGAAAGTTACTGCTGTCTCAGCTGACATGCCTTGTGTCACTTCAATGTTTTCCAATTCCGTCTTTAAAAAAGAAGATTTAAGACGTGTTAAAATTTGGAGATATAATACATGTACATACATATTATAGGTGAAGAGTAGTTTAGTATATTTAATATATTTTGTAAACAAAATAAATTATAAATTATTATCTAATTCGATATATTGTAAAAGCTGGTTATCGAATTTATTTAGTTTACCTATGAATTATCCATGAATAAAGGAAGTTTATTTTTTAAATCAATGTTAGATTTAAATGTCATTACCTGTAAAAACTACATTCCAAACTGAGGATAAGTTTGCAAAGATATTTGGAAATAATAGCACATGTTAGTTTTGTGTTTTATTAGTTAATAATATAAAATTTGTATTTCCTAAATTCCTCACTCTTGTTTATAAAAAAATGTTAATTTTTCTTTCCTGTAAATGTATGATGAGTAATAGGGAAGATATATGGCACTTTAGTTTGGCATCAAAATGAGACAACTGTCAAATTAGAATGTATAACAATTTCATATCCATTTCAGATATGAATCTCAAATATACAGTAAAAATCTAAGGTGAAAATAATCAGAAGATCATTAATTATTCTACAGATATAAACAATAGTAATAAAAAGAATCAAAAGAATCAGTAGAATTCTAGATTGGTGAAGCTTCACTTCACTAAAATATTGTCTATAATAAAATATAATTTCCTGCTTTCAAGGGGAATGTTACAAAGTGTTCTGTTTCTTAAGATGTATAACTGGATTTGATAAACAATAGCAACATTTCTTATTTTTCATTGTTTATCACATAACATTTTTGTTATTTTGGTTTATTATGACTAGGCTTCATTGACTAGTCCTCATTTTCTTAATGTCTCAAAGAGCAGTATAAAGTAAGAAATGCTTTATAAATAAAAATTATTACTCTTTTAAATTTTCTGAAACTAGGCATGCTAGCCATATTGATTAACTTTAGTTCTTCAAGTGATAAATTAAACTACAATGTAAGTATATATTATATGTATCTCTTCTAATTTATTGTTTCATTTTGACATTGCTTATACCCATCATTCTACTTAAACATATTCTTGCTCACATTAACATGGAAATGTCAGCAGAAAACAATGTTTTTTAATAGGCAACATTTAAAAACTTCTTGTGTACAAGATGGGTATTAAAAGTGATAGATGATTACTGCAAGCACTATGTAACTTGATTCTAAATGGAGAATAAACAACCTTTCTTCCTTCTATTTATTATCAAAATAGTGGAGAAAACTTTCTTTTTAAAGTGATCTTGAAAATATTCAAAAATTTGTTTTTAATGTTAATTGACAGCATTATGCCAATCCAGTATCTACGGATTAAAGAAGTGATTAGATTTTAAAAATGAAAATTCCTTATTTCCTAGCATTTCATTGATATACAGTGTCATTTTATAGCATGAATTAAAAATCTCTGACCACAACACAATAGGCTATAATGAAAGTCAAATAAATTCATTTTACATAAAACCTCTTTTAAATCACAGTTATCAATATAATTTTTTATAATAGAATGGGAGATCTGGTCAATGCTTAGATCTATTAAATATTCTAAATAACTTTTCAGATATTATAATTTTATTTTATTTATTGGTTTTTTGAGAGAGAGAGAGAGAGAGAGAAACATCGATTCTTTTGCCCACTTATTTATGCACTCATTGGTTGATTCCTGTTTGTGCCTTGACTGGGGATTGACCTCACAACCTTGGTGTATTGGGACAATGCTCTAACCAACTGAGCAATCCGGCCAGGGCCCAAGATATTAGAATTTTAGGAAACTATAGATATGTTCTCAAATAAATTTTTCATCATTCTGAATTTCTGAAATTATTAGAAGTCTAACTTACTTTGTTAGCCAATGGTCTTATTTTTGAGTCTTTTGGGGTCTACAAGACTTGACCTTCAAAATATGCTTTCATTTTTAAATGAGTGAGTTATATATAGGAATTATAAATAAAATTATTAACCATCCATATAACTTGCCAAACTGTTATTTTTGATTAAACAATGTTTTAATGAAAAGCATTCTTAACATAAACCATAACCTAAAAGGGAGTTCTTATTACACTATACATAAAAGTAATTTATAATTTTAATGAAATGTTATCTAAAAATTTTATCAGGTTCAAAAATAAAGAGCATTCACATATGATTATTACTAATCTTAAAATAATAATTTCATGCAATTTCCTTTCATTGGAACTGGGTAATATCTGATTGTACATATGGCTGAAATATTATTGTTTTAATTATATTGACATTTTAGTCTAAAGATTATTGTATAATAAAATAGTAACTCATCAATAAACTAAGAAAATAATCCTTTCAGTGAAGCTTTTAAATATGCCTAACATGCCTAATGTTAAAGGTGGTATGGAAACGCAAAACATAACCAAGTCAAAAATTTCATAAATAAGTAAAAATAAAATTTAAAACTAAACACCTGAAAATTACTTAAGTAATACTAACCTTAGAACCCTGGACATGCATTAGACAAAACAGACAACAGACCAAAAAAGTACAAGAAAAGAAAATTATTAAAATTAAATAAAAATACAATGTAAAATTGAAACACAAAGTAATATATTTAAGAATTATATTTGAGTATTTTATTAAAAGGAAAAATCTCAGAAGAGGTATTCATTTATAAATTACAATGATTAAGGTCAAATATCAAATATTTAGACTTCTATTTATTTTTTTTCATTAGAATAACTGCCCAAATAACATATATGTAAACATAATTGATGTATTAGAAATTATGCACATTCTATTTTGTAAAACAAATATATTTTTCTAGCAGATGACTAAGGAAACATTTAATAAATAAACTAGTAAGATATTTCTGTCAAAGCTCTAACTCTGTACTGGTTTAATTGGAAATGACTTAGGGAAATAAACTATTTATACCAAACTTAAAGAATTTTCTTTAAAGGATTGTGTTATAATTTGGAGCCCTTCCTATAGATCAAAAGCCCCAGAAGTTAATAAAATAATAAAATATTAGAGTGATTATAACTTAAAGAACACTTTCTCATGCTAGAAAAGAATTTATTGATACACTAAATGAGGACTGCATGTGAACTAACTTAATTACATAGATATTTTACTCAGTTTTAGAATCATATTATAAGAATTATATTCAATATATTGAAAACATCAGATAGAATGAAGCTCACAATATAAGTCATCAACTATTTCTATTCCCTGATTTTTGGAACAAATATATGTGAGCATAAGTTTCAAAATACACTGTTTACATGGTACATTGTATAGGAAAACATACAAAAGCTTCCTGAGAATACTAAAGTATAATCAGTGTTATAAAACAAAAAATTAATAATATTTCCAAATCTATTAACTAAATATTCTGATAATGGTAAGAAAACATAAATTAAAATTAAGACTCTATCATCATTTTTTAACAGAAAAAGTTGTTCTTCTTTATTATGACTTTGAAACTATTAGGAAAGCCAGAAATATCAGTCTCTATTATTTTTGTATAACAAATAAAATAAAACCATAGGTGACTCTGAATTAAATTCTAAGCATTCAGTGTTCTAGATGACTGAACAAAATGATCAGTCTAAAATCATAAAGTGATTTTGCAATTTGTAGTTGGTCCATGTTCCTTGCTTCTCTTCATTTTTCTCCTTTTTAGAATGTTTTTTATTGACTTGAGAGAGGGAGAGGGAGAGAGAGAGATAGAAACATTGATGAGAGAGAAACATGGATCGGCTGTCTCCTGCTCGCCCCCATACTGGGGATGAAATCCCAAACCCAGGCAGTGACCTCTTGGTTCATGGGCCTATGCTCAACTACTGAGCCACAACAGATGGGCTCTCATATCGCTTGCTTTCATTTATGACCAACTGGTACAATGTATATAGAATAAGTAAGAATTTGATTCAACTAGCCATGAAAATATTAACTTCAAAAATTCAACAAAAATAATGTTCCCTCCTCAAAAAAGACTGGTCAAAATACATGGTAAGAGATCTAAATTTTCCCCCTGGCTACCAAAGTTAAAACCGTTGTCTTATTTAGAGACTTGAAAATATTTTTTTAATTAATTCTCTATGTCACATATGATTTTAAATAATATAGGCAAAACTGAAACTCCAATAAAGTCCTATTCTTTCCTGAATATTAAGCTGAAGGTGTTCACTATAATATAAATATTGCATAACTATACTATATTTTCCTTAAGGTTTTCATTAAGATATTTTCTTACAAGTAAGATTAATAAACAGCTCAAATTTTCTTACATGATGATACTGCAACAGCAATACACAAATGTTATAGTTAGTATGGATTATTGTATTCATATAAGGTCCCAGGGAAGAAAAAAGACCAACATCATGCCAATCCCATAGTAACAAAAAGCAGACAGAAAGATTATACTATTTTAGTCTTTTGCCATCAAAACCCATAATAATTAAATTTGTCTCAAAAAGCCTCTTTCAAACTTCAGAATTCTGAGTATGACAGCCTTATTTTAGAAATGACAAGATTATTCTATCATGATACAATTCTGTAAAAATAGGTCCAAAAGGAAATAAATGGAGGAAACATTCAATAACACCTCTCTAGTGCACTATACATATATACCTAACAATTTTCACATAAACTCCCTGTGGGATCAGTATAATTAACACCTTTAAATAAATGAAGAAGTTGTGGTTGGGCCCATATCCAGTAAGTGGTAGAACCTAAGTTAAAATACAAGATTTATCTTATGCTAAAATTCATATACTTTATATTAAATCATAACTTCAAAAGATCATGTCTGAGTCTCACTGATAACAGGAAGCAAGTTTGTTTTTTATAATAAGGAATAAATTATATGATATCCACACTTCTACTGATGGGAAAGACATATTCCTGTGTTGATCTTTGAGTCATATTTTTTAAAAGAATAACTATGCAGAATACTTACTGTTCTACTTATTCTCTCCAAATTAAATACAATTTCACTATTAGACATGTCAAACGCTAAAAAATTTAGTATGACTAAAAAGTTACATACTTCCTAGTGTAATATAATGACAATATTGAGAAAACCTGAAAAAGAAACTTTAATAAATGTCCAATAAGTCAAATTCAAGTTCTTGTTTAATAGAAAAGAATGAATTTATCTTAAGCTCTAGCTATTGAATTTTCAATGGCCAGTAATAAGTAACAAAGTTTTCACACTAAAATATCACTATGACATTTGTATTTATTTGAAGAAATAATGCAAACTATGACCCACAAGTCAAACCTGCCCCACTGGCCGTTTTATAAATAAAGTTTTATTAAGACACACATACACCTATTATTTTATCTGTCTATGGCTGCTTTTGCACAACAAAAGCAGAGTTGTAAAGATGGGACCGAGACCATACAGCCCACAAAACTGAAAATATTTACTATCTGATTCATATAAAAAAGTTTGCCAAACACTGCCATATTATCATTCTCATAATTTTTCATTAAATGCATATCTGCATATAAGGCATGAATATTTTGAAAAACTCCACAAACTGAAATAAAATTATCAGATCATTCATGCATTAGCGTCAAATGTTTCTATTTCTCTTTATATATCTAGATTTAAAATTCTGATGGCATCTACATGACAATGTTTGCCTTTGGTAATCTGGTGTCAACAATGTTTCCTTTCTCACTTATTCCTTCCAAATATCTCTCTTGGCTTTTTACATTTTAAATCTAAGTCAAAAAGCTCCATACTTTAGTTCTAATTTCCTTTTTTATTCAATCTCCTCATTCCTAACTTTCCCCCTCAACTACATTTCAATTTTTAGCAAGAATATTATTCAGTCAAGTAACAGAAATCAATACTCAGCAGTCGGCACCAATCACAGTTCTACCAGTATAAAGTGGGAGAAATAGTTATGGCTGTTACTTTTAAGGAAGCAATTTATTCAAAGAACATAAAATAAGCTATGTTGTATAACCAGGCATTGGTACAATCAGTTAATGGACCAAAATAACAAAAATAGAGAGAGACAAAGAAAGTTTCTACAACTAAATGAATTTCCAAGTATTTTGAAAACAGTTTAGGATTTAAGTAATTTCAAACTCAAACTATACTGGTCAAAACTGCACAGGTAATATATTTGGAAATCAAACTTCAAAATGTCAGTATCTTTACTGTGCAAATAAAAATAAGCAAATTTGGGTAGTGAAATATTATATACATCATAATGTTTATCAGTAATATACTTCATTAATTTAATATTTCTCTGTCTTGATAGAGATCTTTTAGCTTTAAAATTTGGAAAACTATTTAGTAATGTGAATATCTGAAACCTATGAAAATTTTAGCACCAACTACTAACTTTATATAAAGTAAATTTTTTGTTCTGTAGAAATTTTAAAATACTTAAAAGTGAACTTCAATACAAACTTTTAAAATTTCTTGACAACAAATAATAAATTTGTAAGAAATGAAACAAAATTTATATGATGGAAAATATGCCAGGAGGAAAACAATGATTGATTGTTTTTAGTATATAAAAACAAGAACAATTCTCCTTGCCTCAATATTAGAATGTTTTTTAAAAATCATATGCAATTCTCAATTTACTGGCATTTGACATAAATCACCAGAGAGAACCAGATTAAAAGAAGGGATGGTACATTAATCTCACAGGATACCTACACTCTACATACACCATTATTATTTTTTTTTTCCTGGCTCTATTTCCTACTAATTCCATTAAAGCCCTAATGATAATGTGTTCTGCGGCACACCCTCCTGTAGCCTGCTTGTCTTTGTAGACTTCTTGAATAAATTCATGGATGAAATCGAAATATATGTGCCTGTGAGAGAAAGGAGTTTTGAGAATATAATTTTTTGCTGCTAATGTTTAAGTTTCAAAATTGCTTTGGGAATGGTAGCAATGACAAAAGAGTAATGAGAAAAAGAGTGATGTAGAAAAAAGCTTGTTAATGATGAAATAAAGCCAGAGATCAAATTGGAACACTGTCTCACCAAGTAAAAGACATCTTAACAAAACAGGTTTCTCTCTGGAAAAAGCATACTTTTTGGGCCTAGAGATGAGTTCCCAATATGGTAGCAAGAACACAGGTAATATGGGAAGCGTTAGTTCTCTAATCTTCCCTATGTACATAGGCAGCTAGGGAGTAAAGATTTTTTTCTATGGATCAGAGATTTTTTTTTTAAATCCTCACCCAAGGATATTTTTTCAATTGCTTTTTCAAGGAGAGTGGAAGGGAAGAGGGGAGGGGGAGAGAGAGAAAAAGAGAAAGAGAGAGAGACACACACACACACACACACACACATTGATGTGAGACAGACACACTGAGTGGCTGGCTTCTGCTCGTGCCCCAACCCGGGCCAGGCCTGCAACTGAGGTACATGCCCTTGGCTGGATCAAACCCAGGACCCCTCGGTCCTCTGGCCGATGCTCTTAACCACTAAGCCAAACTGGCTAGAGCCAGAGATATTTTTTGAAGTGATAACTAAAATATAAAGTTAGCACTAACCTACTATATTTTAAATTACATAATTAACATTGAATGTCTTTCAACCTTATTATATTAATACATTTCAATGTGTCACACAGAGACAATGTTGAGCCAGCAAATAAAGTCAGACAAAAATGCTATTAAAGACCATGTGAGCAACATAAAGCTTTCTGAGGTTTTCAATGACTGACATTTTTAAGGTAGCATAAAAAAGGCACCTAGTTAGAAAAAGTACAAAACATGCCAAAGTTTTAAATAAGAAACACTCCTAGAATTTATTAATTTGGTTCTCTTTTGAAGCAAAATGCTTCAACATCAAATCTCCAAGATCAAATCTCAGAGAACAGGACGGTAAACCTCCTAGATGTAGTTTAGAATAATATTAAACTTAGAAATAATATGTCAAGTAAATCATATGACATTGCATTTATAATGATGATTTTTTTCGAAATTTATATTCATGACTCTAATTACTATACAATAAGCATATACTTGTATTTAGAACTTCAAGATTTACAGAACAAGGATTTTAACAGTTTATTATAACATATATTTAAAGGGATAAACAATATATAAAAAATAAAGTAAATCATTTCTAGTTATGACTCTTTCTAAGATGTATTCATCAGAATTACTAGAGAAATATTTTTATAAACACACATAGCTGTAACCCAACAGTTAAATATGCATGTATAAATATAACTTCATATGATAAAAAGTTACCTTAGATGAACATGTTTTGTCAAAATCCATCTATTTGCAGAGCCGAAGTTTTTGGATACCTTTTGATATGAGGCACAGGTCTTATAAACCTGTTTACAACATAAAACACCACTGACATGCTCTAGTTATGTAATTATACAATAAAACCACTAGATGGAGGCAAAGTACTTACAGTTGGTGATGTAGCTGCAGAGAGCAAAGGTAAAATTCCTCCACAAGCAATGATGATGTTGTCTACCATTTGGGAAATGAGGTGAATTGTGTTATGTACAAAAATAATGTTTTCATTGCTATTGACAAAATCCATTACAGACTTTGTAGAATGGCTAAAATAGCAGAAAAACAAAACAGAAATGAACACTTCCTTGGCTTAAGAATAAGAAATTTAGACAATTTATAATAACATTTTTAAGTGACAAATAATGAAGAATTAAACAATTTAAAATGGAGTTATTAGAAAATAATATAATTTAAAATTGAGATATTATATTACTGAAAATTAAGCATTAATCTTTACACAGTTATTAGTCTAAGTGTATTAATCTAGTGTTTTGTTTCTCCTTAAGAAATAGTGTAGTAGCTTGATTCAAAGGCATGTGACTAGATCAACAAATGCGGCTAAAAAATTTATTTTTTGCCAGAGCTATTCCTTTTGTGTTGAAAGGCAGAACTGGCTAGTTAAAACATTTTACTACCTTTTATGCAGTTTCAGTTTGTTGCATCATCAGACTGAATCCCCTACCTCTGACCAGCCATACTGAAAAGGTATACTGCTAGTGATAGAAGTGGCACAGTAGGTGAGTATAAACAAATCAATAAAAATTTAAGAACTTACTGAATAAAAAGAGAAAAGATCTAAATGATTGGCAATACAACTTCCCCATACAAAACATGCAATGTACATATTCAGAGAAATACATTGCCTTAATTTGGTGTCAGTCAAGAATATGAACTATTTTCTAACGGGGGGAAAATGAAACTAGTCCATGATCAAATTTAAGTCAATAATTCTCAACTTTTTAGAACTGTAAAATATCATGTGTTGTATCTTAGATCTCAAGATGCTTTCCCTGTCCTAAATATAAAGTTTTATCTTTTAAAAAATTAAAATTACATAAAATTCTGTTTGGAAAATATTTTGAGAGCCCTTGAAAGGAAATAAAGATACACAGTATGTTAAAGGAAAGAAAATTGAGTAACACTAACTTAGAAGCTACTAACAGTGTAATTAGAAAATTACACTATGTATTTCCATACACTGATAGTCATATAAACCGTAATATATTTCATGGTATTCTAGGTCCCTTATTATCATCTCTAGGTAATTCTGAATATAACAACACTAGCAATGAAAAAGACCTTTGTTTCTACACATTAGTAGACTAAGGACAAACTGATCAAATAACATCAGAAGTAAAACCATTCTGTGGCAGACGTTGACTACTTCCATATTTCTTCTACCATGCTAACACAACCTAGATTTTGTTCTATTACTGAACCACATTGGGTATAGGAAAGGTGGGCTTGACCCCAGCTACTACGTTACTGATCAGTATTGCTCTGTATAGACTAGTCATTATCATTCCATTCCCTTGTGCTGGTGGTTAACTTTGAGAAGAGCATATAATCCTGCTAGCATGTGAGATATACAGGGGAAATTTCTTGAAGGGCTTCAATTAAAACAAAATAAAACAAAACAACAACAAAAAAGAACAAAAGAAGAGGAAGAAGAAAGGAGAAAGAAGAAGAAAAGAAGAGGAAGAGGAGAAAAAAAGAAAGAGGAGGAGTGGGGGAGAAAAAAAGAAGAGGAGAAAGGAAAGAGAAGAAGGAGGAGGAAGAGCCCCCATGCCCTCTAGTTTGGACAAGTTTCCTACATTAATTCAATGCTGGGAGCTGAAGCAACCACCTTGAATCTTAGAAGAAAAATCAGGAGAAGCAGAGAAGCCCATTTGAGCTTTGAGAATATCATGCCACTGATCCTTGTTGATGGTGGCATAGTCTGTTACTGAAAGCCATGAAATTCCTAATATATATGCTTGCACATATACATGACACACTTTCATAATTACCTGTATAAATGCTATTAAAATTAAATTGAAAGTGAAGCAAGGGAATGATTTAATTTATGTAGGGTTCGTTTTCATTAACTGATTATATTTGAACTGATATAGTCTCTAAAAATAGACATCATAAGAACACTTAAAATTTTATTTTAACAAGCCTCAAATGAAAGAACAAGAAAAGTCTCCAGAAAAGAGCCAAATGAAATGAAAATAAGCAATCTCTCAGGTATAGAGTTCAAAATACTAATTGTAAGGATACTCCACAGCATGAAAAAATATATGGAAACTATGAAGGAAATGAAGAATGACATAGCAGAAATAAAGAATACATTGGAAGGAATAAACAGCAGGTTAAAGGAAGCTGAGGATCGAATCAGTGAATTAGAAGATGGTGTAGAAAAAAATCACTCAAGGACCAAAAAAGAAAAAAAGCAAAAACAGGAGGACAGTCTAAAGGAGCTGTGGGACAACAAGAAACCTAACAATATTCGCATTACATGACTGCCAGAGGAGGTTGAAAGTAAGCAAGGGTTAGAGAACCTATTTGATGAAATAATGGCAACAAACTTCCCTAACCTGGTCAAGAAAAAGTCATACAAGTTCAGGAGGCAAAGAGAGTCCGAAGCAAGAAGAATCCAAAGAGACCCACGCCCAGACATATCATAAATAAAATGCCAAGAATCCAACACAGAGAGAGAAACTTAAAGGAAGCTAGAGAAAAGCAATCTGTTACCTACAAAGGAGACCCCATAAGGCTGTCATCTGACTTCTCATCAAAAACTCTACAGGCCAGAAGGAAATCGCAGGAAGTATTCAAGGTAATGCAAAATAAGGATCTGAAACCAAGACTACTCTATCCAGCAAGATTATCATTCAAGATAGATGGTGAAATAAAAACCTTGTGAGACAAAATTAAGGCTAAAGGACATTATCACTACAAAACCAGAATTACAGGACGTGTTAAAGAGATTGCTATAATTAGAAGTAGAAATAGGGAGAAAGAGAAACATAAGCATAAAGAAATGAAATGGCAGTAGATAAGTCTCTTTCAATAATAACCTTAAATGCAAATGGATTAATGCCCCAATAAACAGATATGGGGTGGCGGAATGGATAAGAAAACATGGCCCAAATATATGCTGTCTACAAGAGACCCATCTCAGAACAAAAGACTCACACAGGATGAGAGTGAAGGGATGGAAAAAATTTTTTCCATGCAAATAGAAATGAAAAAAAGCTGGGGTAGTGATACTCATATCTGACAAAATGGACTTCAAAATGAAGACCATAAGGACAGACAAGAAAGGTCTTAACATAATACTAAAGGGATCAATCAAACAAGAGCATATAACCCTGATAAACAAATATGCACCCAACATAGGAGCATCTAAATTTATTGAAAAACTTCTAGAAGACTTTAAGGGAGAGATCGACAGCAACACAGTCATACCAGAGGGCTTTAACAGCTTGCTGACTTCTCTGGATAGGTCTTCCAGACAAAAGTCAACAAGGAACAGTGACCCAAAATGACACACAAGATCAGGTGGATTTAACTGACATTTACAGAACATTCTACACCAAAGCTGCAAAATAGACATTCTTCTCAAGTGTACTTGGGACATTCTCAAAGATAGACCACATGTTAGGATATAAAACAAGTCTCTACAAGTTCCAGAAGACTGAAATCATATCAAGTATCTTCTTGGAACACAATGTCATGAAATTAGAAATTAACCACAATAAAACATTAAAAAAAATTCAAACACATGGAGGCTAAAAAGCACGTTTTTAGACAATGAATGGGTTACCATAGATATCAAGAAATAAATAAAAAAACTTCCAGGAAAAAAAGGAAAATGAACACACAACTCCAAATCTATGGAACACAATGAAAGGAGTCCAGAGAGGAAAGTTTATAGCACTACACACATGACAAGAAAAACTTCTAATAGACTCTCTAACCCTACAAGTTAAAAACTTAGAAAGAGAACAGCAAGAAAAGCCCAAAGTAAGTAGAAGGAAGGAAATAATATCAGAGCATAAATGAATGACATAGAAAATAAATTAAAAAAATACAAAAGATCAATGAAACCAAGAGCTCATTATTTGAAAAGATAAACAAGATTGAGGCACCTTTAGCCAGACTCATCAAGAAACAAAGAGGACCCAAATAAACAAAATCAGGAACAAAAGAGGTGAAATAACAACTAACCCAACAGAAATACAAAAGATTGTAAGAAAGTACTATGAACAACTATATGCCACCAAGCTGGATAATCTGGGTGAAATAGACAAATTTCTAGAAAAATACGTTCCAAAACTTAATCAGGAAGAGTCAGAAAGCCTGAATAGGCCAATAACCAGTAATTACTGCTGAAGCAGTAATGAAAGGGCTTCCAGCACATAAAAGCCCTGGCCCAGATGGCTTCACAGGGGTGTTTTACCAAACATTCAAAGAAGAATTAACACCTATCCTCCTCAAAACATTTAAAAAAATCCAAGCAGAAGGAACACTTCCAAGATCTTTCTACAAGGCCAGCATTAGCCCAATTCCAAAACCAGATAAAGACACTACAAAGAGAATTACAGGGCAATATCCCTGATGAACATAGATGCTAAAATCCTCAACAAAATATCAGCAAATCGGATCCAGCAATATATTAAGAAGATCATATACCATGACCAAGGGGGATTATTCCTGGGATCCAAGGCTGGTACAGTATTTGTAAATCAACAAACGTGATACATCACATAAACAAACTGAAAGACAAAAATGACATGATCATATCCATAGATGTAGAAAAATCTTTTTATAAAATCCAACACCCATTTTTGATAAATTCTCTCAGCAAAGTGTAAATAGAAGGATCATACCTCAACATAATAAACGCCATATATGACAAACCTATAGCCAACATCATACTCAATGGACAAAAACTAAAACCATTTCCCCTAAGAACAGGAACAAGACAAGAGTGTCTACTTTCACCACTCTTATTCAATATAGTACTGGAAGTCCTAGCCACAGCCATCAGACAAGAAGAAAACATAAAAGGCATCCAAATTGGAAAGGAGGAAACAAAACTGTGATTACTTGCAGATGACATGATATTGTACAAAGAAAATCCTAAAGACTCCACCAAAAAACTACTAGATTTAATAAATGAAATCAGCAAGGTAGCAGGATACAAAATTAACACCCAGAAATTGATGGAATTTTTATACCCCAATAATGAACTCTCAGAAAGAGAAACTAAAAAAACAATCCATTTACCATTGCAAGTAAAAAAATAAGATACCTAGGAATAAAATTAACCAAAGATGTAAAAGACCTGTACTGGGAAAACTACAGGACACTGAAAAAAGAAATAGAGGAAGATATAAACAAATGGAAAAATATACCATGTTCATGGATTGGAAGAATTAACATCATTTAAATGTCCATACAACGCAAAGCAATCTATAAATTCAATGCAATCGCTATGAGAATACCAACAGCATATTTCACAGATTTGTAACAAACCCTTGGAAAATGTATATGGAATCAAAAAATACCCCGAATAGCCATGGCAATCTTGAGGAAGAAGAACAAAGTTGGAGGGATCACAATACCAGATATCAAGTTATACAACAAAGCCATTGTAATCAAAACAGTCTGGTACTGGCACAAGAACAGACATATAGATCAGTGGAACAGAAGAGGACCCCGAAATTGACCCATGCCATTATGGCCAATTAATATTTGACACAGGAGGCAAGAACACATAATGGAGTAAAGACAGTCTCTTCAATAAATGGTGCTGGGAAAATTGGACAGGTGCATGCAAAATAAATCAAACTAGACCACCAACTTACACCATACACAAAATTAAACTCAAAATGGATAAAAGGCTAAAATGTAAGACATGAAACCATAAAAATCCTAGAGGCAAACAAGGCAGCAAAATCTGACATTTCTTGTATCATTACGTTTGCCTATACATCATCTTGGGTAAGAGAAACAAAGGAGAAAATAAACAAATGGGACTGCATCAAAATAAAAAGCTTCTGCACAGCAAAAGAAACCACCAACAAAACGAAAAGGGAGCCCATTGTAGAGGAGAACATATTTGCCAATGACACATCTGATAAAAGTAGTTGATGAGTTAATTAAATTTTCAAAGGGTAATGATAAGAAGTGTTAATACATTGTGACCCATAATTCAAGAAAATAAAGGGGAATTACAAAAAAAAGAAAAAAAGGTGTATTTTAACAGTGCATATATGTTATATGCTGATTAACAAAAATAAATTTAGTATGTGGTATTAATTTTAAGAGGAAAAGAAAAATGTGGAAATTTATTTGAAACAGAACTTTTTTTTGTTAAGTCTAATTTATATAGAACAGGAAATGACATATTTCAAAATTTTGCTTTCTAATTGTCTCAAGCTTAAGTTCTTGGATACCTTTCAATATGAGGCCCAGGCTTTATAACCTTTATGAAGATATTTATGACTCTATAAAAAAATTTCAGTTTCATAATCTTAAATAAATTTAATTTGTGAGATTTATTCAACGTTATAATTCACTTGTCAATCAGTTGATGCATGCTGGAAATTTAAAATACCAATTTTCTTAAATGGAAGTAGTCTTATTTCTAGAAAAACAGTATTTCTACCTTCTCCAAACATGTACATCTGTTTCTAATGCAAATAGCAGATCGGTGAGGAGTCGCTGGTGCATTGGAGACCATTTGAACTCAGGAATACGGAACATGGTGGTGCGGGGGCCGGGGCTGAACTGGCGCCGCTGTTCCTCGGTCATTGGCATTCCTCGAAATCCTAAATCAACTCGGAGGTCTCTGTCTTGCTGTGTGACAGACCGACCCTGAACAGCCTAGAGAAATAACAGGTGGATATTTGCAGAGTGCAAAAGAAATTACTGATTTCAAAATGAAAACAGTAAGTTTAGTAAAGTGCGTAAAGCTTTTGCTTATGCCTTAAGTAGGCAAGTATATTTACATGTATTGCTCACCTGGTGATTCCCTGCACAGGAACCTTTGAGAGCTGAAAAGGCTATTATTACTACTTTTATTTTGCAGTTTCAGAAACTAAGAAAGAAAATCAAATACCTAAGTTTAATAACAATGTTCACATTGAAAACCAGACCCTTTTTACCCATTTTTGGAGCCTTTATATTAGCCCATATTTCTTCCTTATGAAAGTGACAATATATTCAAAGTGAAGTATACTGAATATACGCCATCAACTAATTGTAATTAAAAACATAAGGTTAAAAGAAATATTACTTGAACAGATTCAAGTTAATTTCAAAGTCGATTTCACTCACAACACTTCAATTTAGAAAAACAAATGCATTTGATAGGCTGGAAAATCAGAAAAAATGCCTGTACACTCTGAATGAAAACCAGATATGCCTAGTGACTATTATGTTCAATAAACAATGCACCATGCTTTCCTTTATTTTAAATATGTACCTAAGTCAATATTCCCATCCCCTACAAATTACCAATGTAGTACAACTGCCACAAAAATGGGAATTGGCAGTTAACAGAGAAAAAATAAAAATGCTTTTCTCACAAACAGACTCTGTCATTAAGTATTCTTATTAGAGTATAAAGACACCAGTTAGGTATATGGTTTACTCTTTATAATAGAACATGTTAAATTTATTTTCGATGACATTAAAAGGTGAGCGGAAAATTCAGAGAACAACATAACAAATCATTAAGTGTAAAAATTTTCTTCAACTCTTAATTATAAGGTATTATTTAGCCTAGAAAATAAGGAACAAGTTTTAACACTCAAAGCTCAACAATTAAAATCAATATCAGAAAACTTCATCCATTTTTTGCTTTACTCTGGTGAGGCCAAAACTGCAGCAGTAACATTTCCTCACCACCAGGCCTTAAGAGTCTTTAATTTTCTCATAATAAATTCCTAGCCACATGGTTAGGAATAAAAAAAATTCTCACTGCTAATAATTCCAAATTTTCTCAGCCATAGTACCTACCTCACAGTGTTGTTGTGAGGGTTAAATCTAAAAACATATAGCACAGTGCCTGGAACAGAGTAAGCACTTGATATAAATTCCCTTTTCCCTTCCCCTTCATTTATCAGTTCAATCTGGGCTCCAAGTCCTCTTTTCTATAATCTACAGAAGAGTGTTGGGCCTGAAGCTTAAAAGGTTAAAATTAATTACGCATTCAGAGTGAAGATCTTAAGTACAAAATGTGTAAATGTAGTCATAGAGTCATAAAATGTTAGAACTAGGAAAGCCCTTAATGGCCATATTTTAATCTAGTAATATGTTGTACTGTGTAAGAAAGTTCAGACCCAGAGAGGTTGAGCAGTTACACAGAATTGGAAATATAATTCAGCTATTTTAAATTTCTTTTATATGTACTACCATACTATTCAATTCCATAAAATACTATTATGCCATAATTAAATATAAGCATAGTGTAACTGATAAGAAATTACTCTGTTTTGATGCTAACAATGCAACACCCATTCAATGCATTTTTAGAACTCATGTTAGGTAACTTACTTGTGTTGTAGTAGTGGTAGTCTGAATTTTTCGGATTTCTTTGCCTGATTCTTTGCCATCATCAGATCTCTCAGTATCTGAAAGTATACTTCCTGCATCAATATTTGGTACAGTTTTGCTACCAGAAGATTCAGTTTCCAGAGCTGTAGCAGTCACTTCAGCATACTCTAACCCTTTAGATGATAAGTCTCTTTCAGAAATACTGCTCATTCCATCTGAAGCTGTATGGATTTTGAATTCTTTTTCTTCTATTATACTTGTACAAGTTAAGTCTACACTACCAGTCATGTGAGCAAGCAACCCAAGATCATCACTAACACCAAGATGTACTTGTGTGTCCTGAATATTTGGAATAATGTGATTGCTAGAAAGTTCAGGAAGGAGTTTCTCTTCCTGTTTGGGTATTTTATTAAACAGAAAAGATGCACTACTATTAGGAAGATCATCTTTCTCATCTGCTAATGTTATCAGTGGACCATTATCCTTTTCTTCATTTTTTTTTATGATACCAACACTTCCATGTACATTGTTTTGGAGTTTCTCAACAGCAGCACTATATACATTATCCAACAAAGATCCAACCTCCACAAGGGCACCATTCTCCCCACCTACTAGAGTCTCTGGTGATAAATCCATATCATCCAACTTTACTTCTGTTGCTTCCACTTTCTCTGCTTTTATATCGACTAAAAGATCATGCACTTCCACATGTACACCACTTCCCGGTCTATCTGAATTTCCAAGAATATTGTCTGACACTTTTGTTGACATGAGCAAGTCTCTAGTGTCTGTGCTGACAGGGTAATCTGCCTCACTTTCTGGGCTCTGACTTTGTGAAAGATCTTCTATCTCTCGAATTTCCATTCCACCTTTTGCTCCTGTTGTCTGTGATGAAAGACCAGAGATGGTGCTCACATTCCCTTTCTTTCCCTTTTTAATGTTTTCCTCCTCCTGTCTCTGATATTCTTCATACATTTTGGCTAGGTATTCCTTATGTGCTTCATAAGTGACCTTAGGAACAAGAGGGAAAAACATTAAGGTATTTTATATATATCAAGAAGAAAAAAAAGATACAAATAAAATCATGGTAATAATAGCAAAACGGTATCAAGTATTTTAAGATATCAAACACAGCATGTATTAATACTAAGACAAGTGTTTAATTTCATCAAGTAATTGAAAATGATCATTAAAAAGAGTTATTTATGACTTCTTACACGTCCAAAGACACACAGTTAGGTAAACTAACAATATTAAAACTTTAAATAGTGATCTTTTCTTTTAGGTTAAGTATTTTAATGTTACCCTTACCTAATATGCCAGTTGAACTCCTACATATTTGAGGTATTTGAGCTAAAATGAAGATGTGGCTAATATACAGTCCCCAAGTACTACTCTACTACTAGATCAGATTTCACCATCCATTACCCATATGTGTGCTTATTTCAACAATTGATTTAAGAAAAACCCACACATATCCATAAATACATACATTTATAAACTGTTAAAACATCACAATTTTATCTTTACATAGGCTATTTTGTTACTTTATATAGGCTTCCTTAGGAGATATATATATATCTTACATTAAAAATGCAATGTCTTAGGCGAAGGGAGCAGGGGAGGAAATAGGGGATATCTGTAATACTAGCACAATAAAAAATGCAATGTCTTTTCCTATAAAATACTATTTTCAAATTTGTTAATATAATAATAAAAGGTGCCAATATGTTATAAAATTTAAGTTATTAATAGGAATAAAAGCTCTTTTAAAATTAAAAAAAAAATTAAAAAATTTTCCTTAGAGTCACATATGATATTAATTTCTACTTAAGTCATAGGATAACAAAAGTTTATTTTGTGATAGAGCTTCCTTTGGAGATTATCTCAATACAAAAACCCCTTCATTTTATGGAAGACGAAATCAAGTCCCAAACTCGGGGTTGACAAACTATGTTCTCCTTCTACCAAAGACTAGATAATATTTAAAATATAAATATATAGATTTCTAGGATTAAATATAGAGAAAAGATAATGCAATTAAAAATACCACTAATATTAAACACTTTAAGTATATTTATGATTCACCTGAAAATAAAAAATAATTTCTGACTACTTTTTAAAAGTCTTTAAAATACTTTAAAAAGTCTTTAAAAAGTATATTTCAGAGTCTATTCTATAAAATGCTCTTATAAGAATCAGTAGGTATGTTCTAGTTTTTAAAAGGGCAACTGGCTCAGACTGAAGTTCTCAGATCTGCTTATATGTGGCATCACTTTTGGGGTCCACAATTCCTAATTTATAAACTTGAGGTTCCAATCAAATGATATATAAAATACTTCAAGATTTAACACTGTATGGACAGAAGGGAAAAAAACACAAAAAAGAGAAAACTGGGAAGGAGGAGTTGGCCATAATGGAAGTTGCCCACAAGATGGCACCAGATGAGCATTTGCAGCCATTTAATTAATCCACAGATGAAACCTGGATGATATAAAATGCTAAATCTCTGTTACCTTGGAATGGGCTATTGAGAGTGTATCCACCCAGACTCTCCAGCCTCCCCATTCATATTTTATTGCATGATACAACAATATCCGGAAGATATTATAGACCATCTCAGTAATCTTCTGTTCTTCAGAATTTTTAGGATTGATATAGCCAAGAGAAAACATCCAATCCTGCCATACTGAACACTGCAATAAGCATCTAGTAGGAAAAACATATTAATTAAAAATACCTAAGTTGTATTAGAATTTACTATTTTGAAATTTAGATAAATAGAGAAAACTGCACCTAGGTAAACAAAGGTGCAGTCATTCTGCATATTCTATACCTGGAATGGCACTGCCCCATTTTTCTACCTGAAAAAATCCAAATTATCATTTAAAATTGCTTTCCTAACTTTCCCAGTCAGACTAAGTTATTATTTTTCTACTCCTTCATCATATGTAGCCCTCACAATGCGCTTAATACATTATAAAGTAACCACTACTTTATTATTCTTTCCCACTAAACTGTACTAAGACTGTATACTAAGACAACCTATGCACCAAAGTGCTTTATACATATCAGACAATCAATGTTTGTAAAATTAATGACTCAGGCAGCAACTATGGCTCCAAAATATACCCCAAGTCCTAGGTAACCAGCTTAAAAATACATGACAACAATTAGTTATCAGACAAATTCAGGAAAAGCATGGATGAATATGAGCAAATCCAACATAATTACAATTAAAACTACTATTGGAGATAGATAGGTAGCACCAAAAGGAACGGTGCATTTTAAATAATGGTTTGTGGATATATATTCATATATTCAATTAAAATATAATACAAATGTAAGTAAAAACATAAAAATAAATAGAAGTATAATAAATGCAGATTATATCAAAGAAACATACAATGTCTTCTCATGATTAAAAGCATTTAGCAATGTGGGAAAGATTAGAATTTTTTTTCTATGAAAGAGATTGAAAATAAAATAAGATTAATTATAGAATAAAGTTTTGTTGTACTATTCAATTTGCTTACCTTCTATTTTCACGGCTATTACTGAAAAGTTTTATCATGTCAGATAAAAATAAACGACGTACTTCCATCAGTTCTGCACTTGGTGTAGAGTTTTTTAACAAAGTTGCCACCACCTTAAGAATCACTTTAAAAAACAACAAAAAAGTTATAGTATAGACTTATAACTGTACATATCTTCTACACAAAAAAGATTTTACTGAAATTTCTTTATTTTATTTATCTTTATTGTTGAAAGTATTACAGATGTCCCCTTTTTTCCCCATTGACCCCTTCTACCCTGCACCCATCCCCTACCCCAGGCCTTCACCATTCTATTGCCTGTGTCCATGGGTTATGCATATATGCATATAAATTCTTTGGTTAATCTCTCCCCACCCACCCACACCCACCTTAGCACCATGGTAGGTGATTTTTAAGTGCTATAAACTATGTGCGCACCATAATGAATTTAGGTGGTTGGGAAAAGTTTTGATTTAGTCTGACATATTACCATGTTACTATTGTATTAAAATAAAAAAATTGCTGTTTGCTCACTTGGATTCTGAATTTTCACTGTAGAATCTGGCTCTGGGTGTGGTTTATGTACAACTTGAGTACATACTTGCTCTGTCAATATCTGGAAGATGAAGAATTTTAGTTTTCATTTAGAAAATAATTTAAAATATAATTGCCAAATATATACATACAAAGAATTTCAAAAAATTCTGTTCAAATCAAAAGAAATATCTCTTCTAAAGGGTCTTCTAGTGAATTCCACATACTTCTAAAACTCTAGATCCTTCAATTTTTAAAAAAATTATAGATAAAAACAAAACCAAGACCAGTATCTATAGGAAAGCTTAATTAGGAAATACAAGAACTTATTCTGTCTGAAATCCTTTTCAACATACATCCTTAATATACTTATGCTGTAAATTATAAACATTTGACTCTTGGTGTCAACACTAATTTTTAAAATTTAGAAAATCAGTAAATAAAATAAAGTTTGAAGCCTGGGCCCCAACTCAAAATGAAGTGTCATAAGGGAAGATTCTTTATTTAAAAAAATGTGGCTCATTATCATTTACTACAGAGTTTTTAAAAACTTCTTTCGAACAACAAAAAAATGACAAAAGTTGACCAAGTAAAGACAATTCTAAAACATTTACAAATTTTTCCACTAACACAAAATCTTGGTGAGTCCAGTATTATTTCCCCCCCACTTAATTTCATTTATTTATTGAGTATATGTATTTTATATTAGTGATTTAATTTCCTATTTTGCTTTAATATGCTAAATTTTTAATGAAACTTTAAAAATGGTTCAACCTATGTTAAGGCTGGGAACTCTGGAGAAACTATAAAAGTTAGTTGAAATAGCTATATTTTAAAAGTTGAGGATGAAGAAAGTAAATTAAAGAGACAGTGACAGTCCCTTCTGAATAGAAAAAGACCATGACATCCAAAAGTCTCATTCTTCTTACCTTTTTGCCCAGACTTTCTTTTGTAAAAAACAAAAAGGTAGGAAATTTACTTAGTTATATTAGCGATGTAAATTAAAAAGGTACTGACTTGAAATAAAAAATAGCCACATTTTAAGTGTTTAATAGCTTTTTGTGACTAGTAACTATCATATTAGAGTGAGCAGGGGAACAATAATGCATTGAGGTAACCCAATAAATTTGCTATTTACAGACATAGGTGTGAGCTTAGTATTATACATTTAAGTTTTATTTTATAAATGGAATTATATCCTAATTCATGGGTAACAGAGAGGAATTTAGGCCCAATCAACAACTACTGGAGCTTCCTCTCTGACATACGTACTCCCCAGCCTCGTCATACATAAATCATCTTTGATCAGGAGGCTTAGCTTTTGACAAAGGAGTAGTACTATTTCATTTCTTAAAATGGCAAACTATTAACCCTACTGTTACATCTAACTTCCACTGCAGGTATCTGAGGGCCAGGGAATCTTTGTATCTTTACATCTAAACAAGTTGTCATACTTTTTGGCTCTTAATTTCTTTATCTGTGAAAAGAATATTTGAATAACATGATATTTAATGTACTGTCCCCCTCTGAGATTCTATGTTAAGAAAGGGGTTTTATTATGAGATACTAAAGATTTAAAGTTGAATATCATCTTGTAAAACATTTATGCTCAATAACTATTATGCCCTTATAGAAAAAGACAAAGTAACTAAAATTATACATTTGAAAAATCAGTTAATTATTTCCATAAGAAACTGAGCTCTTCAGGATCCCACACCTACAAGCCCCTGCACTGTTTAACTGAATTGTAGAAATAATATGTAAAGAGAAGTAGTTTACCCAACCTTATAAAGAGACATTAATATCACAACATTTAATAAAATAATGTATCCGATAGTATGGTTGAGATCTACAAGTATATTAAAAAGAATATAGTTTTGTCTTTAGAAGGCATATTCTGAAATCTAATAAATAATTCTAAAGTGTACTATAAATTAAAAAAATACAATTATCCATAATTTAAAGATTGAGTGATAATGTAAATATATAGCAAATAAAATTTAAGACATATTTTGCAAATCTAATTCTCAAAAAAATTTTGGAAAAAAAATAGGTTTGCATAATTTCAAACAGGAGTCCATTAAATCTAACTCACTTTAGTGTATGCGATACAAGAAAATGAGACAGGGATGTTTTCTTAATAATTTTTTTTTTAGTTTTCATAATAATTAAGATAGAGTCTTACATTTTCATAACTTAAGCAATGTTATCTGACATATCCTGCTAAAATAAGTCTAACTTACTTTGTCCTTTAATGTTTATTATTTATTCTATTATAGGTATCCTATCAGATTTAGAGGTATAAGGATCACAGTGACATAGTCCCTGTGGACTTCCACTTTGTGTAAACCACATGTTCTAAAATATCATTATCAACACCATAGGTTTGACGCAGTTCTTTATTATTTCTGTACTTGTTTTTATACCTTCCTACAGTTGCGGTGGTATTGATTTTGATACATTGCTTGGGATTAAGGTAATTTCCCCAAACCAAAGCAGAGAATGAGATAAAAGAAGCTTTCAAACTGTAGATTATCAACCAACTGATTCATTCTAGGGGTACAGACCCAGGTCGACACTCACAAGGTACATGAAATCCAGGTCAGGTTTAGAGGGTGAGTTTTCTTTTTTTTAGTTAAATTACACTTACTATATTGATTAGAATTTAAGTTCAAGTCTATCATATAAATTTTAATCTTTTGCAGTAGATGCCACCCTCTAAAATTATACAATCTTTAAACTTTGGTGATCCAGAATTAGTCATCCACCATCCTGTCAGTTTGATAATACAATTTACTATTTGTATTACAGCTTATGTTGAAGACCCTTTCTACGTTCTTGTGAGATCAACACTAGCCAATCATATGATAACCATATTGGGCTTTTTGTATATCCACTAACTTTCCTTTTTAGAATATCAATTCAGAGTCCTCAATTAACCATAATTATTATTATTCTTTAAAAAAGCATATATTATTGCCAAATTGGTCAGATAGTAAGTCAGTCAGTTACATTATCATTTCAGAACCTCTGTGAAATCCAATATCCAATATCAGAAGATCTAACCTTATCCTGGCTGTTTCTACCTAAGATGTGAAATCAGCAACAAATTGGCTTTGTTTAGTGTATAATATCATTAGAGACCAAAATCTAGACACTAAGAGCATGCCTATGGGTACTGATAGTAGGTAAAAATGCTGCTGCACTTCTGTTGAGCCACTCTTCAGGAAGACTGATAGAAATGCATGCGTATATATTCTTATTTTAAAGTTAGGATTATACGATGATTTTTCAAATTCAATATATTATATTGTTATGCGTTACTTCTATTTTAATATAAAGTTTCATTGTTTACAAAGACTTTCTGCTCTATTGACACTATATAGGTCAAAACAAGCAGGTCAGAAATTCATGTAGACCAAAAAAATGATTAAAAAACATATATAGTCATCATCAATCAAAGCAATTAGTAGGAAGAAAACCAAGATAGAAACACAAGTTAATCAATATTAGACACTAGCATTCAGAACCCTGATATTTTAGCAAGGTTCTCATTCAGAGGAGGATTTTAATGCTGTCAAGTTCAAGGTATATTCTGACATTTTTTTGTCTTACACATATGTACTGCCCATTGTATGACCACTTAGTAGAGGTAAGAACAAATAATTTAAACTGTGAGTCTCAGTTTATCTGTTTAAAAAGGCAATAAAAGCCCAGCTGGGCATGGCTCAGAGGTTGAGCATCAACCTAGGATCCAAGACCTCACATTTTGATTCCTGGTCAGGGAACATGCCCGGGTTGGGGGCTCGATCCCCAGTTGGGGGCGTCAGGAGGCAGCCGATCAGTGACTCATCATCTATGTTTCTCTCTCTCTCTCTCTCTCTCTCTCTCTCTCTCTCTCTCTCTCTCTCTCTCTCTCTCCCTTCCTCTCTCTGAGATCAACAGAGATATATTTAAAAAACAAAAACAAAAAAAAGGCAATAAAAATACCAGTTTTATAGGGTTGTTGCAATGATTTAAAATAATGTTGTAAAGGACTTGCCAAGGTGACTGTCATAGGAAGCACCTAAAAAAGATATCATTATTATTTGGAAAATATAGTATCAAAATTAAGATGCTCTACATAGCATAAGTTTGTTTATCAGTGTTTATTCAGCTCTGCCCACCAAATACTAGAGTAATACAAAAAAACTTATAATTCAAAAAAGCAACACTCTGGAGAGCAGAGTTTACAAATCATGTAATTTGAGGAATGACTGACACAAAGTTGGAATATTCATCTTAGGAACAATAAAACAGAGTAATCAAAAGAGTTTCCTTCATTTATCTAAAGGGCAGCCGCTCTTAAATTTAGTGGGAAGAATATAAAATGGAAAAAAAAAAAGATAAAATAGCTAAAATTAATATCTTTATAAATGCATGTATAGAATAAATACATATAATAAGTATATTTTAATGTAATAAATATATCATAAGTACAGTTTTATTGGACAGCCACATGCATTTGGTTCATATTGGCCATGGCTGCTTCTGATCCACTACTGCAAAGCTGAGTAGTTCCAACAGACACCTGCTGCTATAGACTGAATGTCTGTGTCCCCATAAAATTCAAATGTTAGAACCTACCCCCCAGTGTGATCATATTAGGAGGTGGGCCTTTGGGAGGTGATTAGGATTAACATATCCCTCATGTGAAGGGGTTAGGGATAGGGTTAGGGTTAGTGCTCTTCTAAAAGAGACCCTAAAAAGCTCTCTTACCCTTTATGCCATGTGAGGACACAGAGAAAAGACCACTTGTCTTGGACTCCCTAACCTCTAGAACTGAGAGACATAAATTTCTGTTGTGTATCACCTACCTGGTTTAGGATATTCTCTTAAGAGCAGCCCAAATGAACTAATACAATCACAAAATCTAAAACATTTATTATATTATCTGTCCCCTTATCAGAAAAGTTTGCCCTTCCCAACTAAGATGAACACTTTGTAATAAAAATATTTGCAGTATATTGTTAAGTGGAAAACTCAAGACACAAAACTATTTGCAGGATGATAGTTCATAAGAGGTGTGTCTGCATGTGCGAGTTGAAAAAAGACATATATACATTTAATCTAATGAAGTATATTTAAAGTATATATACTTTTAAATTAATGAAGACACTATGGATAAATTTTATTTTGGTGATTTTATGTATTTTCCAAGTTTTTTTAATGAATGCATATAACTCTGATATCAGATTAAAATGTAACTTTAATTAAAAAAACAGAAGCAGATACATTTCTTTGTGTTACAGTACAGAGAGAATTTTAACTTTGAAGCAAAGTTTTTACAGAAAGTTAAGATAATAAATATTTAAGAATTTGTGGGTCTTGTGATCACTCTCACAACTACTCAACTCTGTCATTACAGTATAAAGTCACTGAGCTATATTTAAGTGAATAAGCATGGCTATGTTCCAAAAAAACCCTTCATTTATGGAGACTAAAATTTGATTTTATAAAATTTCATGTCATAAAATATTGTTTTTTCCCTGTCATTTAAATATGTAAAAACTATCCTCTACCTGTGGGCTGTTCATAAACTAGAACTGAGCTGTATCTGGCCTGTGGCTTAGATGAAAAAAATATATAGAGAAGTTTGAATTTGTCCTGTATTAATTTAAAATTGCAGTGCAATTCCATTCAGAATCTCAGCATGTGCTTTCTTCAATGTCTCTCATTTTAGTTTTTCATTTTTGTAAAAATATCTGCAATGATGAGATATCGTTTTATACTTTCTGACCATTGTTTTTCTTAGTTAAGAAAATTATTATGAGTCTTTTATCTAGTAATGCCAATGTATATTGTGTTAGCACAATTACAGTGTCCTTGTATAACAGACACAATGTTTTGTCATCCAAATCTATACGAAAATCATCCATACTCCACTGTATTTTATGAGATCTGAAGTCTACTTTCCTTGTTTTCACATGGTAGATATGCACTAGCATTATTATTTTTAAACGTTAGGTTTTGTAATACATGTGTTAAGTGAAACACTGCCAAGTTTTTGCTTTACTGTGATCTGTAAAGAAAAAATAAACATGAGCAATCTATAAAGAAAGGAATGTGGCTGTTTTCCAACAAAACTACTTATGGACAGACACTGAAAGCTAAATTTCAAATAATTTTTATGTGTCACATATTATTTTAATTTGAGTTATTTTCAACTACTTAAAAATACAGAAACTCCTGAACTTTGGCTACACAAAAAGTTCAGCTGTTGGAAGTTTGCTAATCTTCTCACTAAACAAAAGAACTAGAGACACTGAAGATCAGTTGCAGGGAAGCAGAATTAAGGTTACCATAAGAGACCATTCCAAATATTTTACTAGTATTTAAAAATAAAAACAGCTACTTTGGGAGGTAACAAATGCATTTCATAGAAAACAATGAACCCAAGCTACATGGCCATTAGAAATGATGAAAAACAGATTTTTGAATTGAAATGCTGAAATAAAAAGTTTCTTCAAGATATCATTTTTACAAATAATTCTTACCTACAATCTATCCCAGTATCAATTCCAGGTTAATTTTGGTAATTGTTGTATATTAGAAAAAGAAAGGGGGGGGGCAGGGAAAACTATATATAATACATAATGATTGTGTGGTTTACATAAGAAAAATTCTGTGCAAAGCCAATCATCCAACCCATACTCAAAGAAATGCCCTTGGACCGACATAAAGAATTGCCAAATAAATGTACATGGACATGTTTCAAAATAAAATGTAAAACTGTATCATTTTTTAAAAATGATTACTGGCTTTCTAAATTAACTGACCAACAACAGATCCTAATTCCATAGAGAGTATCCACTTCATACATTTAAAATTGTCATCACACATTTTTAAAACTTTTACCTCATAAAGCGTATTGTATGTAGTGACAGTCACAGTATTTGTATGCAACATCAGCCTTTCTCCAAGAAGAGTGAAAAGACTATGGGTATGCATAATTTCAACTTTTCTCCTGGAGAAAAAGAGGTGAAAAACACAAAATGCTGTAAAACACAGTGAATTTTCTATTCTCATGACTTTAAGATTTCTTTAAAAAGTACAAAAAAAGTACAATCTATATGCAGATACAGAATCATATAAGTAATAATTTTTAATAATGCGCATCTACAAAAATAAATGAGTTTATAGTATAGGTATCTCCTAAAGTTCCAAGAATACTATTTAAACACTTCTCAAATATCTGTGCAAACTAAAATGTGAAATATTATATAAATGTTGACAGCTATTATTTTCAAATTTCTAATAACTATTTAGGAGTTATTTTTATTAGGTTAAGATTTTTGGTTTCCCCTAACAATAAGATCACATAAGTTTTAAATCCTTTCTGTCCAAATAGAAAGTCTATAAAATAATCTATGACATACTTTAATATCAAGCATTTAAAATTATAGTTAAAAGTGAGTATTCTATCTTAAAGTTGGGATTGCAAAGCAAAAAAAAAAAAAAATTGACCATAGTTAAGTGGATTCATGATTGCTTGTATTTGTAGTCTGTCATTAGAATAAAAATGAAATGAAATAAATAAATAAACAAACACATCTTTCCACATAGTTACTTACTGTTCGCTCATTTAAAAGCCCTTCTCCCACCCCACCCCACACACCAAATCCAAAATGAGGATAGAAGGCTCTATTGAAGGCCTCCTAGAACACTTAACTCTAGATCAAAGAATTATTACAAGACTCTCATTCACACCACTTTCTTAAAATTCAAGATCTGGATCTTGGTTCCCAACCCAATATATTTCATTTCTTACCTTGATTTTCTATGGTTCCCTATTTGGATTTGGCAACTATGACATAAACTGACTAGGTAATCCGCCAAACTCCTGTTCCTTTCTTCCTGAGTCTGAGTCCACAGATACACTGCAGCTAGGAGTGATCACTTAACTGAGGAATGTGAGCAGGAAAGTTGAGAACCAATTTTATGCTGGCCCACAGAAAAAGCACTCATCTGTGTCTTCCTTGCTCTTTCCCCAAGGCAAAAACACAGGAGCCATAGGATGAAAACATACACACATTACTGAAGCAGCAGCCTGAGTCACTAGCTCACAGCTTGGGAGAAAACTGCCTGCTGAAGAATACCCACTTGGATTTTATGTGAATAAGAAATTAATTACTAGTTTTATAAGTAACTAAAATTACATTGTCTGTTACAGCACATATTGTTAATTAATACAGATTTTTTTTTTAAAAATAAACTATTTTTCAAGATACCAATCACCTGGAAATTCTCTTTTCCAAACATCAGTCTCCAAGCTCCACACTGCACAACAAAAGACATGAGAGCTGTTTCCCTGAACCCAATCCTCCTCAGTCCAGGAAGGGAAAGAGAAGAATTACCCAAAACCCATGAGAAGCTTGGGCATTTGTCTTATGGTTGAGTTTGTAAAACACTTAAATAAGATTGAAAAACGTCAACAGGTCATTAAAAGAAAAACAGCAGGACCAATGGATATTATAGTATTATACAGGCGAAGCGTTTAGTATCTGCCAACTCAAGTCACACCCAAGGAAAGGAGGACTGAAACTTTCATTTGCTCCTAATAAAGAAAGAGCACATGCCAAAGCCTATCCCTTGATATATATCCCTCTTACACAGAGCTGGTAACAGTTATCTCAATCAGGCTATTTGGAATTTAGAATAATTTTCTAATTTTCAAATTTATCTTTATTGTTCAAAGTATTACAGATCACCCCTTTTCTTCCCCATTGACTCCCTCCACCCTGCAACCTCCCCCCACCCAAGCATTCATCACACTATTGTCTGTGTCCATGTGTTATGCATATTTGCTTATAAATTCTTTTGTTAATCTCACCTTACCTACTCCCCTACCCCTACCTTTCCTGAGATTCCTCAGTCTGTTCCATGATTCTATGTCCCTGGATATATTTTGTTCAGTAGATTCCACATATGAGTGAGATCATGTGGTATCTTTCTCTGACTGGCTTATTCCACTTAGCATAATACTCTGCAGGTCCCTCCATGCTGTCTCAAAGGGTAAGATATCCTTCTTCTTTACAGCTGCATAGTATTCCATGGTATGAATGTACCACACCTTTTTATCCACTCATCTACTGATGGGCACTTAGGCTGTTTCCAGATCTTAGCTACTGTAAATTGTGTTTCTATGAACATAGGGGTGCATATATTATTTATGATTGGTGTTTCGGGATACTTAGGATACATTCCTAGAAGTGGGAACACTGAGTCAAATGGCAGTTCCATTTTTAATTTTTTGAGGAAATTCCATACTGTTTTCCATAGTGACTGCACCAGTCTGCATTCCTGCCAGCAGTGTGCCAGGGTTCCCTTTTCTCCCCATCCTTGACAGCATTTGTATGTTGCTTTGTTGATGGTGGCCATTCTGGCAGGTGTAAGGTGATATCTCATTGCATTTTAATTTGCATCTCTCTGATGATCAGTGACACTGAGCATTTTTTTATGTCTCTTGGACATCTGTATGTCCAATTGGATTGTCTTCCTTTTAAGTTGTATGAGTTCTTATATATTTTGGATATTAACTCTTTATTAGATGTATCATTGGCAATGTGCTCTCCCATACAGTGGGCTTCCTTTTCATTTTGATGGTTTCTTTTACTGTGCAGAACTTTATAATTTGAGGTGGTCCCATTTGTTTATTTTTTCCTTTGTTTCCCTTCCCTAGGAGATGTATCAGCAAGCATATAGCTATGTGAGGTGTCTGAGATTTTGATGCCTACATTTTCTTCTAGGATTTTTATGGTTTCATAATTTACACTTAAGCCTTCTATACATTTGAGTTTATTCTTGTGTACAGTGTAAATTGGTGGTCTAGTTTCATTTTTTTTTTTTTGTATGTACCTGCCTAATTTTCCCAACACCAAATCCACGGTTGGTGGCTCTGGGGATAGAGCTCAAAGTACTGTCTTAACAGTGCCACTAAAATTTCCTCAACTAAAGAAATTCCTGTCCTCCTGAGTATCTCCTACAATGGAAATGTTTATAGAACTTAATTCTGGCCTTTGGGGGAATGTGAACAATGCTATGCATACACGGGAGAATATATGGATCTGCTTCCTCCTGAAGTTTGCTTTAAAACAATGTTTGCCAATAAATTTTGCTGCCCAGTAGTCAAGAGTAGTTGAAAAGTGGGTGTGTCATATGATTTGTTTTCCACAGGCCATCTAATAAAAGACCAAACTTGAGAGATCCAGGATGGCAGCAGACTGAGTGGAAGCTACACTGACACTCTCCCAGGACCAATCTGGATTTACAACTAAAACACAAAAAAACATCCTGAAAACCAACTGAAAATTAGTTGGAGAGAACCCTCATAACCAAGGAGGAAAAGTGGAGACCACACAGAGATTGGTAGGAAGTGCAGAGGGGCGAGGGCTGGCTGGGCTCCCACAGGCAGCAGCTGAAGATCCAGAGGGATATCTCAGCTGTGGGGCTTCCCATTGAGGACTCTGGGAGCTAAACCCCAGGCTGGGCTTCCCAGCTCAGAGCAGAAGAACTGAGAAAGGTGTCCACAAAACATCTGGCTGTGTAAAGCAGCAGGGTCTCTGTCTGCTAGGGAGAGGCAACTGGAACAGCACGCACTATCTTAAAGAGTCAAGCACAAAGTTTCGCGTGCTGCCACTCACCTTGGGCTCTGGCGGAGGGGAAGTAGAGTGGACTGGGGCTGTGTGGGGAGAGTCTAGGGAGAGTATTTCCCCCAGTCTGTGGGAGACATCTTTCTCAGGAGGCGAATTTTCAGCTTTTTCCTGATGGGGAAGCAATTGCCCCACCCTGCTGGAGAACCTCTCAACCTACCTGAAGGAGTTTCTACAGCCTGAGGCTTGTTAAGATACTGATAACAACCAGCCACCCCACCCTGTGGAGCTTCTGCAGCTTAAGGTTCTTTAAGAGAATCAGATTAGTCAATCTGCAGGCAGAGACAGACCTCAGGGTGCTTTGACTCTGTGCCTGATCTGCTTTGAGACCAGGGCCTTAGAAAAGCAGACTTTGGTGTGCATCTTGGTCCTGTCCAAATGCACCCAGTCCAGCAGTGGAGACCTCAAGCCTGGGGTTGTTGATAGCCCCAAAAAGGGTTCTCAAGGGCAGTCACAAACTGCATCTAACACTGGCCTCTACCAGAGACCCTCAAAAAAGACTGAGAGTCTGAGCAGATCCATCTAACAATTTAAAACAAACCTAAAAAAGCAGCCAAAATGGGGAGACCAAAAAACAAACTCCAAATGAAAGAAGTCTCCAGAAAAAGAGCCAAATGAAATGGAGATAAGAAATCTCTCAGATATAGCGTTCAGAATACTGACTGTAAGGCTGCTCCACAGCATTAAATAAGACATGAAAACTATGAAAAATGATGAGTCAGAAATGAAGAATGACATAGCAGAAATAAAGAATATATTGGAAGGAATAAACAGCAGATTAGAGGAAGCTGAGGATCAGATCAGTGAATTAGAAGACAGGGTAGAAAAAAATCACTCAGTCAGAGACCAAAAAACCAAGAATTAAAAAACAGGAGGACAGTCTAAGGGAGCTGTGGGACAGCATAAAACATAAGAATATTCCTATTATAAAAGTGCCAGAGGAGGCTGAAAGTAAGCAGGGTTTAGAGAACTTGTTTGATGAAATAATGGCAGAAAACTTCCCTAACCTGGTCAAGGAAAAAGGCACACAAGTTCTGGAGGCACAGAAAGTTCAAAGCAAGAAGAATCCAAAGAGGCCCAAGCCCAGACATGTCATAATTAAAATGCCAAGAATCCAAGACAAAGAGAGCATCTTAAATGAAGCTAGAGAAAAGCAATCTGTTACCTACAAAGTACTCCCCATAAGGCTGTCATGTGACTTCTCATCAGAAACTCTACAGGCCAGAAAGGAATGGCATGAAGTATTAAAGGTAATGCAAAACAAGGATCTAAAACCAAGACTACTCTATCTACTACTATAATTAGAAGAAGAAAT